GAGAGAGAGAGAGAGAGAGAGAGAGAGAGCGCACTGACGATATTTCTTACGTATTGTTAAAATATATTGCACAAAAGTAGGAAAGCATTTTTATGGAATTATTCATTGATTGTTGGATATAATTTTGTTGCAGAGCCAAAGGAAATGGAGCACCCCGGCTGTTCTCATTTTCGGACACTTTTACCCAGCGCTTCCAAAATAAAAGTCCATTTTTTTCCTGGTGTTGATCAATCTACCAAGCTTACGTTATTTTACTCCCGCCTATTGCCGCACCTCTCCAATTACATTTCCTTCCCGCCACCTCCATTTGTCTTTTACGAGAGTCCGAATTAGTGTCATAATGTCGGAAAAGTGTATTTAATTTTCTTATAACATTAAGGATTATTAGCTCTATGTAATATTATAAAAACTTCGTCTCATTAAAGTTATTGGTTTTATTTATATTATTCGGAGTTGTGCGATTTAAGGGCAAGATTGACTATTTTATCAAATATTAAATATTCTCTTATAAATGATATATTAGAAAGAGTAAGCAGATTTGTTTGATAAGTCTCCCAACAATGCTTATTGTGTAATAAAGTAATTTTAAGATAGTTGAAAACTTAATGCTGTACGATGATAAATTATGTCAACGCTAAAAATTATTATAATTATAATGATGATAATGATAATGTTAATAATAATAATAATAGTAGTAATAACAACAACAACAACAACAACAAAAATAATAATAATAATGTGTAGATTAAGCCTGTAATTTTAAATCAACGATGAGAGTTTTATAGACTATGTGCCAATTAATTATTCACTTGCAAATTTAATTGTTTATGTACATTCCATGTGATTTGACATTGATTTCGGGTGCCTTGCAAAGTACAAGGAATGGGGATGTGAAAAACGTGTAAAGTATGAAACTTGTAAATTTATTGAAGTCAAAAAACAATTTAAATGTCTCATAATTTTAGCGAATCACGTTCGTCGTCTCGAACGGTAAATTTTCTGTAAAGATTTCATGTAGAAATTTTGATGCGCCCATTCAATGTTTGGTATGTAAATATTGTTAAAAAAAAAAATCGAAAAAAAAAGAGTTGTTTCTTTCGCCTCTTTTTATTACTCGATATTATAAAAAAAAAAAGAAAAACATTGAATTATATTGAAAAAAATATTTATTATACATTTATTTGACACAAGAATTAAAATCTGAATTATCCGTCGTTACAGTCATCAATCAAATGTTTTCATACGCATATTTATTTTTTATATATTTTTATAAGTTACAGATGTGATCGACGACAATTTTAAAGTTTAAAAGCTTAAAATTATAATTTTAGCTAGCAACTTGTCAATTTATACTAATATTTTTAATTAATTGACAAATCATGGAAGTTATAGAACCTTGTGAAGAAAACAACCATTCGAAAATTCCAACTAACCAAGAAAATAATTCATCGGCCTTTCCCGTAATTATTATCCAACTCGTTAACTCCATTCGCTCCACTCGGCATAATTTTCAAAAAGTATAAATTTGTTTTCTCAGTGTGCGAAAAGATATGTCCAACCTCCTCGGGTTAAAACCTTCGCCCCGAACACAACCTACTGTCCTCCTGAAACTGCAATAGATTCAAGAACAACCTATCATACCTCATATTACGGAGAAAATGATACACGCAACGCTCGACCAAAACCAATTTTGCCAGTTCACAGTCTCCATTTGCACAATGACAAATTTCACGATAATACAACGAATAAATTAAGTTTTAAGCCAGTATCGGGAGTTCATAAAGCCAAACCATTCTTTCCTCGTCACAGGTACATCATTTACAATCATTACTTATAGCTAAATTCTTAAGAATAATTTTCTTTATTCTCCCTCTCTCTCTATCTATCTATCTCTGATAAATTTTTACCAACAACAAAGATCATATTGTTTAAGCTATATGCTCTTATTCTTAAAAGCAATAACTTTATTCATTGATCATGAGCTTAAACAAAATATTATGGACAAATTGTTGCCCAATACTCATTGGTCTACAAATCTCTCGAAGGATAAATCCTGCGCAAGCACCGATGGCGAGTGTCACGACTATATCGCACGATTACATGCCGAAATATGCTCCAAAATCCGAGGCGATTATGCCCTGTGGACACATTCGAACGAGCACCGGCAAATTCGAGACCAAAACAACGACTTGCCTGAGTTACGTGAATCCTGGGCCCGTGGAGCCCGTCATGAGCTACAAGCCGCAAATAAAATACTACCAACCGCAGATATCCTCGGCTCAGGAGACAACTCAAAAATTGAGCTTCTTACCTTACCAGCTGGCTAAAAAGGAAAATTACTCCTGGGCCTTGAAGCCTACATACAAGTAATTTACAAGGCCGACGCGCCCAATGAAAAAGAGAAAAATTATAATAACCGATCGCATTAACAGTGCAATGGCCCCTCGCAATTCGATAATAAATCGATTCGCCGCTTGCAGGCCTCCCGAAGTGTCGATGGGCGGGGAAACGACCTACTCGAAAAGCTACCTCCAGCAAAAGTCGGAAAAAGAGAAGCCCATACTTCCGAAAGACACGGACGTGCTGCCGAAGGGCGATCAGTTTATAAAAAATAGCATTTACAAAGAAAGCTTCCTGCCCTGCCAAGTTAATATGGTGTCGCCGATCATTCCCTCGTCGAACATCAAGCTGTCGAGTAAAAAAATGACGGGCGACACGACGAACAAGGTAAGGAGGAGGCATCGAACGCCAAGTTCCCGTTTCAAAGCGTAGCGCTTACTTTCAGCTGAGCTTTCAACCGATGAAGGGCGAGAAGCGAAAGCCCATCGTACCCCGGTCGCGCAAGATATTGGGCGACGCGACATTCATGCAAAACATAACGACCAATCAGTTGTCGTTCACGCCAAAGATCGAAAAACGGCGCGAAATGATCATGCCGTGCGGGCACATTCGTACATCCGACAAGCCCCTGGAGAATAAGACGACGACGATTTTATCTTACGTTAATCCAGGACCGACGTCGCAGGCGCAAAATTACAAGCCCATACTGAAATATTGCAAGTACGTTGAAAAAAAAAAATAATAATAATATATATATATATATATATATATATATATAGCGCTACGTCCGCTCATTGGCGCAGAGAGGTGCGCGAGTATTAATAATATCGAGGGGAAATTGATCGTAGGCCCGAAGAAAAGATCGAGACAAGCACCGTGAATATGTTGTCGTATCCGGAATGGTCTCTCGGGCCGAAGGAGGTCTACCCCTGGGCTCGCAAGCTCAAGTACCAGCCGGCGAATATGAAACTTGCGACCGACAGCGTCTACCGCACGAGCTTCTTACCCCCGGGTTATTTCGTGGAGGAGTACGCGCCCGACACCAAAGCCTGCGACAGCTGCTGAAAATGCCGAAAGTCTGAGAAAAAAACAAATAATACAACGACAGCGGGGACGTACGAGAGAGACTGCCGCTATCACAAAGGGAGCCAATGTTTTATCAACGACAATAATAATAATAATAATAATGATGGTATACTTATTGCGTCTTGTTCGTTTACTCTTCATTGCATTTGGGGCTAAAGAAAAAAAGGGGAAGAAGAAAAGACATAGGGGTGTAAGGAAATAGGCGATTGTGGTAATTAAAACGAAAGGCCATATGATATATATGATGTATATGACATGTATATATGTATATGATATGATATATGGTGTGGGCGGACAGACATCATCAGGTGGGGGTAACAAAATAAAGAAAAAACAACAATACATTGTCGAGGTTCTCTATTCGATGTTTATTATTCAAACGTAAATCTGTGCATAAAGTATACAGTACATATCATTATACATAAAGCAATTAATGCATCAGACAGAATAGAGTTCTATACTTAAAATTATACAAATGATAAAATTTTCTTCATAATAAAATAAACTCTAATCTTTGATAAAAAGATTGATAGACAATATTGTAATGACGCGCCCTTGCCGCAGGAGAAAGAACGACGACTTTCATTGTTTTTTTTTTCCAGCTTGCGCTTTCTTTGCTTTCATATTTATTTATACATTGTAATGGCGCTTAATCTATACGAACACGGCGTGCGCGATATATTACTTTTATATATATATATATACTTATACAACAAAATTTCACGCAATGGCTAATCTCATCATTGAAGTACATCCATGCAAGGCTCGATAGATTCTTTTTAAGATTAATAAAAATTTAAAGTGCGGAGAGACATCTAAAAGAAAACATCACTTACCTTTGTTCTCGTTTATATAATTTAGAAACTAATGGCGTAAAATTACTTAGACTTATGAACTACGGAGCTCGAAAATTATTTATAAAGAAACACACGCCCATCTATCTCCTTTACGTGATATACTATAGGCCGCCCAGCGTTACGTCCTACTTCATCAGTTCGTCCTTAGGCCTACGTATAAAATAACAACTTGAGCCTTGTATTATTACTATACATTTTACCTCTTTTTCGTCATATTTTTTTCTACCTTAAATGCACAACCGACACGACTTTCGTATTATAATAACTGCTGTTCTCGTTGTTGTTGTTGTTTGTTGTTTGTTGTTGTTATTATTAATATTAATATTAATATTAATATTATTATTGTTATTATTTATTATTATCGTTATCATTATCATTATTACTACTACTATTACCAACAGCCTGGCAACTTATTTATTACATAATCGTAAGCACATGTCACTTATCTCTATCTATCTATCTATCTATCTATCTATCTATCTATCTCTTTCTCTCTCTCTCTCTTTTCGTTACTTATTCGCCAATAAGAAAAAAAAATTGTTTCATCGTCGCTCATAAGGCACGTCCAAATCCTTCGATTAAATTGCACGATTAGTTTACACTGTTCTTTTGCTTTTGCTTTCTTTCTCTTCTCTCTCTCTCTCTCTCTCTCTTTTTATATCTCTCTCTCTCTCTCTCTCTCTCTCTCTCTATCACTCTCTCTTTCGCGTTATCTTGCGCGCGCGCATGCTCACTATCTGATTATTTTGCAATACTTAGCGAAATTATCATATAAATTTATGAAAGTTTTTTTTTGTAAATCTTTTTTTTAAAAAACTGTTATCACTCTGCAGCCGAAATAATCTTTCCGATAACTTTATAACATTGTTGTAAGGAATATAAAATTCTTTTTCTCTCATCTTCCCGTTATAATAATTTTAACGTGAGTAACTTCGTTATTTTCTTAATTCTACGTTTCAAACACGATCAATTATTATATCTATTAAAACACAAAAATGGCCATGAAACATTAATTCTGTACTCTAGATACGTTAAAAACGTATTAACCACAGACATACATCATTTAAAGTTCTTTCACATATATTGTCTTTATGTATTTGTATCGTTTTGTCTTTACGCAAAGTATGTATATAATATATTTATCAAAGTCCCCTTATCGAATCTGCGTGCAATAAGTAACGTCGCTGGAAGGCACGAAAAAAAGTATTACAATTACGTCAAGTTGCTAAAAATAAATCACATTAGCGATAAAAATAAAAACAAAAAAATAATACAAAAAAAAAAAATTATACATCTTTTTAGCAAAAGAAAAATAAAACGACTGTCTTTAATCCATCTTTTTTAATACAAACTAAAAAAAAATATTGTTTTCAAGCAAACCTCGGACAATATTGCACGTTACTCAACACACTCGGGTAATAAATAATGCTTTCAAACTCGAGGTTTTCAAATCAGAGCACGAAAATTCCATTGTAAGCTACTCAAAATATATTTAAAAAATAAATTATTTACTTCAATCCCCCTTTTTTCCTTACTCTTTTCATTTTTCATTATCATTATTATTTATTTATTTATTTTATTTATTTATTTATTTATTAATATTAATATTAAACCTAATGCATACCCACATTACTACAAAGATAATAAAAACAAAATCTATGTACATGCTTCATTCTTTGTTTAAACTCATATGTACAAAGCTGTACATCAAAGCATTTATTTCCATGTTTAGCATGATTTAAATTTTAATCTTGACTCTATGCGCTATAAAATAAATATTTTAACATTTTCTAGTTAACTGTCATTCGTATATAATAAGAAAATAAAAGAAAGAGAAAACAGAAGAAGAAGAAGAAGAACAAGAAGAAGAAGAAGAAAAAAAACACGAAAATTTAATAGAATAAAACTCCAATGTCGCCTCCTCCCTTCCAATTGTAACAAACAACCTATTAAATGCAATCAAAGGAGTACATCAGCATAATAACGATAACAAAGTATGCTACATAAAAATGTGTGCACTTCTCAATCGAATTTTCGGACTCTGAGAAAAATAAAAATAATAATATAACACAGTTTTCATTGCGGATCCGTCATTAATAAATGACCAACCCCTCCTCCTCCTCCTCCTCCTCCTTCTCGCCACTTCACACACGCTCTATCTCTCGCTCTCTCTCTCTCTCTCTCTCTCTCTCTCACGCACACGCACGTACAGGCGCACGCGCGCGCACACACGCACACAATATCTTCGTCATTGTAGTAGTCCCCGCGCAGATTTCTAACATACCTATTGAGGTTTGGCATTGTACGTTTGCATGAATTCGGAGAAGGTCCCGAAGCTACCGAGCTGATCCAGGTTGAGATTTTCATCGATGGATGGTAGGTCACCGTGACCGATAAGCTCGACGTAGTCCATGTCCGCATTTGTCCTCGCCGACTGGCCGAGACCCGGAGCGTAGCTATTGCAAAATAAAAAAAAGCACAACTCCAATCACTGGCAACGCTCGACCATAACGTTTTTTTTTTCAATTTTTTTTTTCAATTTTTTTTTTTTTGTTTTTTGTATTTGTTTATTTATTTCCTTTTTCTCTTTGTTAATTTTTCTTAAGATTTTCTTTCTTTCTTTCTTTCTTTCTTTCTTTCTTTCTTTCTTTCTTTCTTTCTTTCCTTTGGTCGTCTCTTTGAATCTTTAATCTTTAATCTTTAATTTTAAGGCTGAGCGTACTTAAATGATAAAAGTAAGTAGAGTGACGATTAAGCTACCATACGTAGATTTATTATACGATTCTCGTGACCGATATTTAGCCGGATAGCCGGTACAACATGGTTAAGAAATGTGTGCAAGCAACCACAGAGTAAGTATGATAAAGCCAGCTAAGAATGATCGGTCACTTTGCATCAATCGCTTATTATCGTATCGTTTTAATTATATTATCCTCTTTTGTTTCAGCCAACGAGTGTAAAAAATATTTGAAAATTATTTTAAATACTGTGCAGTTATATTAGGGGCTATATTATGTATTATTGCAATTACTGATTAATGCTCGTGTAAGGTTGTAAAAGTTTTAAGAGCTGCTTTAAAAGTCATTTCAAGTCGAGCAAACGGTTACTTATAATTAAAAACCGCACGGGTCAGCGATTTATTTTGTTGCACCGCTTCATCAATGCGCGTTAATTTTAAAATTAAATTAAATCAATCTCTCTCTCTCTCACTCTCTCTCTCTCTCTCTCTCTCTCTCTCTCTCTCTCTCTCCCTCTCCCACTCTCCCTCTTTCTCCATCTCTATCTATGTCTAATAGCAGCGTAAATGCTTAAAAATTATATTTTACACTCACTTACATTAATATGGTTAAATACGAAAACTACGTGGTAGCGATTTAATACGATAAGCAAGAAAATTTGCGGTTTGCACAAAATTACAAATGAAATTAACGATTCGATACATCATACACATAGATTGATTCAAGAAAAACGAAACACATATCATGCTTATTGAGTGTGATACGCTTTGCACTTAAATTTATCGTTTTCATCTCTACTCGATTGCCAGTTAATATTTAAATAACGAGTAGTGATTGGAGTTGCGTTTTTTTACTTGATTTGCGGTGTTTCCGCTGTCACATAATTTGTCAGAATCCTCATTTTATTTTTATTTTAACGAATGTAGTTGTACCGGCTAGCTCCGAGCCTTTACCTTATTTGCAATGCAAATGCTTACATGTGTGTAGCTCACTCATGAATTTCTCTTGTATGAACATGCTTATGAATGATAGACTTATACGCAATGAATTAATAATTACTAACGAATTATTGATTGATAATTAACTAATGTTTGCTTTCTTCATTCTTTTTTCTTTTCTTAACTGTTCTTTCGTATGTGTGTTTGTTTGTGTGTGCGTGTGTGTGTGTTTGTTTGTGTGTGCGTAGGTGTGTGCGTGGGTGTGTGTGTATTTTTTTCTCCCTCCTTGTTTTACACATCAATAATCAATTGTTTAATATTTTATACATTACTTTGTTGCTAATGCATTAGTCATAACATTCTGATATTGATATACGAAAATGCTTTTAGGCTAAGGATAAGGGCCCTTTGATCAAGAGTATCGCACAATGAATTTTTGATGATAGATCGTTGACATGAGCTATCAGTCTATTTTGATAAATTATTTGTTTCATCTTAATATTATGGTGTCAATACAAAATTTATTATAATTATAATCAGTATGATATTATATTCGATTCGTTAATATATAGTGAATAATATTTAAGTAAAATTCGTATGTAAAGAGCATTGGATCGAAAATAATTGTTAATATTATTAGAATCACAGTTCACAAAGTACCTTATTTTCCACTAAATTTCTTCGTACTAACTGGAAATTTCAAAGCTATGAGAATCGATACTTACAAATTTTTATATATGCATTACGATGCTTTTTGATCCAATACATCTCTCGTCAAATATTGCATTAGCCATATATCAACTATGACGTTATCATTATTTTAATCATAATAGAAATCGTGTAAATATCTTATAAAAAAAAAAAAAAAAAAAAAAAAAATAATAATAATAAAAAAATGCATACAAAATTGGCGATTTCAAAAGGCATCGCTACAATAAACGCGTGGAGTACTTAGGCTTAGGGGAAGAAAAAAAAAAAAGAACCATCGAAACTGTGAATACTGATACAGTATTTGGATAAATGAAGCTATGAAACTCCGCCAAGTTTTTTATCGCGACAAATGAACAAAAGAAATAAAAATTTTCATGACAGGTTTGATACTGTACAAACTTACAAGAGCTCCGACATCTTGTAAACAAATTCATTACTTTCGTTTAATTTTTTTTTTTTTCCTTGTGATTCTCCTTTATAAAAAGCATGATCTGTGGTGTTTAATAATATACAATTCGCAAAAGCACTAAAGTCCATACTTTTACTAATTTACTAATAAATCACTGCCCTGAGTACGAATTAGTAGTAAATATACACATTTAGGGTCCGAGCAATTCGTCGACCGAAAAAATTCTCCACAATACAAAGATGATAATCGACGAGATTACATCTCAACGCGAATGAACAACGAGCAATAAATAGTAATTTTGGTTTGATCGACCGCATACAATATTCGCCCGGTGTTGACACAATTTCGAAGCAAAGTATGTTCTATAATCAACTAACGTCGCAGGCAATTAATTAATCTCGATAAGTTAATACATTTTCAATTCATATTTGTGTAGATCTGTCTATAATATAGAAGGAGAGAAAAAATATTTAAAAATAAGACGGTAAATTAGGTATTTAAAAAAAGAAAAAAAGAAGAAGAAAAAAAGAAACTTTAGCGCATCTTCATATAACATGAGAATCAAAGGCAGTCCGTTCATTGTAGCAATTTACAATTTCGTTTGCTATATCCAGGGCACTGACCTAGAGGCAACAGACGGCGTGTCTCTCGTTACCGAGGGATCCGGACTGTGGGCTTGAAACATGTTCGAGGGCGTCGACGGGTAACTGCTGCCCGGTCCACCCTGACTGCCGCCTCCGACGCCGACAACCGACGAGTGCGAGGGTGTCTGGCCGCCCAGCGCCGGTCCTGTCCATCCGGGCACGTGAGTCACCAGCAGCGGTTTCACGTAGCCGTTGTTCAGAGGCTGGTTCTCTGCGTCACATGCAAATAATATTTCGTATATATAAAGAAATAAACATTCTGTATTCCAGAATATCTCTCTCTCTCTCTCTCTCACACACACACTCTCTCTCTCTCTCTCTCACTCTCTCTCGACGCTAAGTGCATCTAGTCTGGGAGAGTTGAAGGAATCGAGCTTTTTTCGTTATCCCATTCATTCTTCTTCGTGCTTTCGTAATTAAAAAGGAACGCCACAGGCACATCATTTTACAAGGGTTGGCATTTACGACCACTAATAATTATGGTAGCTTCGTCGTCGAGGGAGTGTGTGTGTGTGTGTATGTGTGCAAGTTTTAAGTAATTAATAAATGCTTTGTTGGCGCGCTATTCATTGGCAATGTCGACGACAAATTACACTTTAAATGCGTGTTTTAATTTCTCTCAGTGATATTTTAAAAATCCCCACGGTTGATCAACTTTTCCGTTAATGACCAAACGCGCCCAAAAAAATTATGTCCATGAAAAATCTGGATTTTCTGTAATCAATTAATATTTAAAAGTTTTAAAAGTTTTACAAGTTAAAATAAATAAATAAATAAATAATCGCGAAAGAACGCGACCGGATATATTCTCGATTTTCTTCTTCTTTTCGTTCTCTTCAATGTTGTTGCTCAGTAGCTACAAAAGGCCTTGCACTTGCATTATTGCAATACAATAATGTAATTACATCGAGTCTCTTTCCTTCCTACGATGATGGGACGCATTTCACAAAGTCAAACGTGTCATTATCGACCTCTTCAGGGATATTTCGCGTTGCGCTTGGATCGAAGAGTATTGAAGTAAACTATGGCAAAAGTAGTAGTTTGAAGGGGTTTGGCATGGAAAATAATCGGTATGAGGGAGAACTTCAAGATTCTAGGAACATACGAATTCATCGATTGTTTTCGACGTATGTGGTTATACGTTGCCATGCAGCAAAATTACCGAAACAACGTTCTCTTTCTCAATACTCCCCACATTGCGCGAACAGCGGAAAAGCATTTTAAGTTAAATTCAATTTACCAAGAAAGCTTCTAATGGCTCTGCTGCTACTTATCGTAATTATCGTAATAATTCTAATAATCATTATTCCTATTATTTTCTTTATTCCTTTATTCCACTCTCTCTCTCTCTCTCTCTCTCTCTCTCTCTCTCTCTCTCTCTTTCTCTCTTTCTCTCTTTCTCTCGCTGCCATAAGCTCTATACTTATATGCTTTTTCTTTTGCTTCAATTTCGCCTTCAGCGACGCGTCATCCTCCACCATAAGTATGGTCGAAAATGCCTTGTTAAACATTTTTGTATACCATAAGCATCGTCGGGTCTAACAATGCTGGTCCCCTCTATTGTCATCATTAACAACATGCTTACAATGTTACTTCAATGTATATATATCATCCTATGTACGTTGAAGACGAGTATCGCGTTTGGCCAACTCGATTATCGTGTCATTTTGTATATGGGCTTCTTCTCTTCACCTCGTCGCCGACCCCAGCCGCAAGCTCGTTACAAAAAGCCAATTATTGGAACGCCATTAGGCAGCGGTTATTTAAACATGAGAACCGTCGGTAAATTGGCATCTTGATGTTTACGTTTAAAGAAATGACGCGGATGCGCGACATTGTGAAGGAGCTCGAAGTCATGAGATAGGCGCACAGACGCACAGACGCACGCACGCCTAATAAGGAAAAATTATGCTCGTTGAAATACTGACCTTGGAACGGTGTGCAATATTTGGAGAAAGCTTGGTCCTTGGATATGTCAGGGTAAAGATACATCAAGTGCTGCAAGTCGAAGACTCTGTCCGCTAAGCCTCGTATCGCGAAATCCTTGCTGGTGAACGGCTGAAGCATGAACACTTCCGTTTGGTCTGAGAGAGACAAGAAGAAGGTATAGGAATTAAATTGGGTGCTTGGAGAGCGAAGCCTCGAGGGCTCGTCCCGACGGATAATTACCTGCGACCCAGGCGATGGTGACGCCCCCGAGCTCGGAGTCGGAGAATCTCATAAGGAAGGTGCCTGAGGCACAGTTGGCCAACATCTCCTCGGCCTGCTTCTTCCTTACAAAGCCGAGTATATAGCCGTCGTTCCAAGGCCCCTTGAGATGCTCCCTCGTGAGCTTCATCACCGCGTAGAACCACTCCCAGAATGTGAAGTTCCTCTCGGGTAGGGGTTCCTTGCAGAATTGTGCCCAGCTGAGAAGGAGATTCGTAAAGTCCTGGCAGCCGGAGGTGCCGCCCCTGAAGGCCTTGTCCGCGAGAAAACGTAGGTTATCCTCGGTGAGGAGTCGACCCGTCGCTGAGTGAAACTTGACGTTGAGGGCCTCGGCGACTTGGCACCAGGGCACCTTATCCGGGACCGCGAACGGCACTCGGCCAGGCTCCGCGAACGCGTTGTCCCAGGTGACCGTCGCCCAAGCGTGTGGCTCCTGATTACCATGCACGATCACCACCACCGGCAGACTCAGCGTCCAAACCTAGCGTAACCCATCATTCGAAACGTGTATAACATTATTTTGTTTACCCTGCCATTGGCATCCCGAACGTGATCGGGATCGCGGTCTAATTACCCTGACATCTTGAGTGAGAAAAAAATTCGAGCTCACCAGACTTTACCCGTCCGACAATTAACTGTTTTCGTCTCCGTCGTCGTCGTCGTCGTCGTCGTCGTCGTCGTCGTCGTCCCTCCATTACCAAATCCCATACCCGGCCATATCTCGCGATAATCTAAGGTAACCGAGGGGACTGGAAAACGCTAGATGCTTTCTCGCATAAATCGCATTGCACGCCATTGGCGAGCAATAGTTCAGCGCGACATTTTTTGCTTAGAGCACAGTACGTGACGCGCACGTTGAGCTTTCAACTGCAATCGTCAAAGTACATTCCTCGCATGGTCGAGGGGAATAACACATCGAGGAATTGCGCGCCAGTGGCATGTGCCTCGTGGAATCGATGCTCGCATTACGAGTGGCGCATACTCGGACCGCGACCTGACGATTTTCAAAATGCGCTTCCTTGTTCTCCCTAGGCAATCGAGGTTTTCTCATTAACTTTTTTTTACTTTCATTTCCATTTCCTTGTTTTACTTTTATTATTGCCTTTTATTATTTATTAGACCACCGAATCGATTCAATACCAACGTATAAACATATTGACCGATGCGTCGTTTGGACCAAATTGTTAGAAGAAAGCATATGAGCAAATGCAACTTTACAACATGCATGTAAGTCATATTAAATGTGTCTATTAGGAAGGCCTAAAGAATCTAATAATTATTGTAATTGTTTATTTCGATTTTTTTTTTATTTTTTTTTTATTTTTTTTTTATTTTTTTTTTTATTCCGGATTAAAATGTAATTTTCAATTATAACTATGAACACTATGAAATCGGATGATTTAAATATTTATAAATTTACTTGCAACAGAACTTCAAAAGCTTCAATGTAAAATTACACAATTATTAATTAAAAGAGATAGGATTTTTGAACATTGAGAAAATAAAACCAATTGCACTTTCAAATTTGGCTACATTTCCATGCAATATTTTCGTATAATTTGTAAGTAAAAATACAAAATGTGAGCGCAAATAACTAGATTCGACCATAAACAAAAGTCAGACAACATTTTATTCACGCCATGGTTCAGTTTATAAATAGGCTTTTCACATTTATTTAATTAATAAAGTCTTACTTTGCTGAATGAAATAGTAATGGCATATAATTTTATTTTATTTTTATCTCACACTATTGGAAATATCAATGCAAATGAGAAATTAATTAGCAGCAAATTTTATATTATTTTTATAAACCTTCATAAAGAAAAATAAAATATATATATATATATATATATATATATATCAGTAAAATTTCTTCCAGACACTATTTATCTTATTTTTTTGCGTAAAAGTCTTATTCTTAGCGTTAGATCCTCTTCACTAAACAAGAAATAAAAAAATAAAAAATTGCAAAAATAAATTTCTTTTCTCTTTGATATATATATATATATATATATATATATATATATATATATATACTTTTTTTTCTTTTTAATCGATGATCGCCATATCATCGATGTCTGTAACGAATGCCAGTCTTATTTTTAACACGTAATCAAGACAACAAAGAAAATTATACATTTTTCGTTATCAAATGTAAAACATATAATACAAGCTATAAGACTTTTTGTGCACAAAATGAATAATTGTCTCTGAAAAATTAATTAATTAATTAATTAGATTCTAAATTAGATCTCTATAAAATTTTCAATTATATTAATTAATAGCCAATAAATGTAACAAGGTATATTATATTTTTTAGTAGCGATAATAGATTTTTTTTTGCTTTACAATCTATTTCTCGTATCATGTATATTTTTAATCCTATCTTACTTATCAGTTCAAGGTAAGGAATTATAGCAATGAAGAAATATAAAGCTTTAATTTAATTATAAACAAAATTGTAACTATTCTTTTAATCTTTTAATTAAAAATGTTTTTTATTTCCCTTTAAGATTGGCATTTTGCCAGTAAAATCTTTATTTAAGTTGGTAAGGTTCTTAAAATAAAATTATCTTTTCGTTACTCCAAACCTTTTTACATCACTTTATACGACTTATAAAATATTGAATATTGCAATGACTTACGGTATTTTTCTTTTGTAAAAATATAAATACACAACAAACTTAAAAAAATTTAAACTATTAACTATATTTGTCTAATTATTCAACTTTGCTTGTGCTTCGACATGCCAATGATTTATTGAACTTGAATGGTAATTTTAATTTAAAATTTTTTTCAATTTTCAATTAACTATAAATGTCATGAATTTCATAAAGCATATTTGGTTAGTTTATAAAATTAATGAAATTGCTGAATTGGGTTTGTAATCGATAATAATTATGCTATACAAATTTCAGAAAGATTTTCTTCAATTCACATACTCGGACAGTATTGAGAAATTAGGAAATTTTAGAACTACTTTAAGTAATATTGTTTGAATAATACTTATACACGAATGATCGAATTTTAATAGTAAACAGTAAAATGATTGCGTTTGAAATAGAAGTGAACCGTAGTAGCAGTAAAAACCGAGGAGTTAAAAAAAATAGAATAAAATGCACGATCGTAATAGGTTTTGATAATAAGGTATTTGCTAATAAGTTGGATCAATAAAAATAGCTGTTAATATAAGCGTTAGAGAAAATGATTATTTGAATGTTAATTATTCCTTCATAAATATGCTAAATTTGCAATTAAGGGTACATGGATTCGACGGTCAAGAAAGCGAACTGTTTGCTGGTTAAAATATTAATTATTATATTGAAAATATACTTTCAAACTTTAATAAGCTCGGTTAAAGTAATTTCTATCGTACTTAGCCTAAAAGAAACAAAGTATTATATATTGATCTATCAATCAATTCTAATTTCTTTATTTGTATAATTCAGCAAAACATTAGTCAGACGGTATGAAAAAATTTGTCAATACAAAATATTTAAATAATACGAAACAACATGTAAGTAAATTAAACTTTGTAAAAATTAAAATTATTTTTAAAAAATGATTAAGCATAAAAATGTATTTACGTTAAAAGTGCTTTTGTAACTTTTATAAATTTAATACAAATCGGCCAACTATTATCAGCGAGAAAATGCATTTTGAATGTCACGTTACTTGTTAGTTTATATTTTCAACATCTAAAAATTCCTAGATAATGAAGATTCTAAATATCGATATCTACGAGCCTAAGGAAATGAATCTTCCATCTTCTAAGTGAAATTACTTTTAAAAATCATAAAATTTCATTTTTTAACAGAATAAGAAAATACCGGAATGGCATGTGGAATAATACTCTTTGCTAAGACGATGAATTTTCGATATTATTAATTTATACAAGCAAATAAGAAAGAAAAGAGAAGAAAATTTAATAAAACGATTAGAGTTGTGTACAAAACTAGTTAAAAAGAATAACTTACCCGACATTGATGAAGTAACAGTTATCAAGTATACTTTCGTGCTATGATAGTCCGCCGCTTTGAATAGTATTTGCTTTTTTATATTGTTATGACTTCCAAACGAATATCTCTATCTTATTATGTTATGGAAAAAAAAAAAAAAATAAAAAAAATGCTATCTCTCTATTAACCAACAAAAATGAAAAAAAAGCATTATCTATTACAGTTTACTTGCGAGTTAAGTAAAGGAGTATAAATAATACGAGATATATGCTTGAAATCACTGGTGACTATAGTTCTTGGGGAATGCACAAGTCAAGTGGGGACAATTAAAATTCATCATTAACGCTCTCGATAGCGGTAGTAACGTAGATTTTTCCACCTTAAACGTGGGTGGTTGACGATATTACAACAATTGATAAAATGCTCGTATCAAGCATTTGGCATTCGCTTAAATATTATTTTCTATTATTAGTATGGATTTTTTTAATTAATGAGTTTAATAATACTGGGTAAGAGCTCATTTTTTATGAAACTAAATACCAATAAAACTATTAACAATTTGCCTGTATTTACTCTACGAGAGAGATTAATTATTATAACGTGTTTATTTATAAAAATACAAACCGTGCTAAAATTAGTAGCTAAAGATTGCGGGGTTATTTGTTACAAGTGTACGAATAAATATTCGCGTTCAGAAAAACAGTATTTTCATCACTTAATGCAGTGGCCCTTGAAATTGCTTATTAAATATATAATTGTACGCTACATAGGCAGTAAAATTATTAATTAAATTTCGAGTTGGGTAATTTATAACAAAATTTATTCACAACGTGTATATCCATTTATATGAAATAAACGTGATTGATATTAAATAAAAAATCAATTTATAACCAACTATACGATGTTAATATAATGTATAAAGTTCTTTTTACAAGTATAATGAATTAATCCGATCAATATTATTTTAATTTGTTTGATTCTATATATTATTATCAAGAATTTTCGATAAATTTTTAGAAATTTTTTATTATTATATGTTATAGACATAATAAACAAAGACAAAACTTTGTACGTTTCGTTTGACGTACTTTTTAAAAAAATGATAGAAAATGAAACCCGAAAATCTGTAAATATTTATAATCAATATCAACATATTTATTTTTCGTAATCGATTTATTTAGAAAAATGCGCAAACTTTATTTTTGCTATAATTTTAATTTATTTAAAAAATTAAAAAAAACATAATTTTCATTTTGAAATTGAAAAATAAAAGGTATAAAATTTACTAATTAAATTTAAAGAAAAACAACACATTACCGGTGTAATGTACGTCTTCATAAATCGCAATAAAAATAATATATTCACGATACCTACCAACGTAAGATTTTACAATACGTTTGGAATTTCAATACATCTCAATAGAAGTAAATTAAATATTCAAAAAAAAAAAAAAAAAAAAAAAACAATTATGTTGTATTTATACAAATTTTTAAACTTAAAGTAGCTACACCAATGAACTGAACTTTGATAATTGTCATTAATTTTGTTCTTTTATAATCTAAAATTTTAATTATAAATTTTCTCAATAATATTAGTATCTTTTAAAGTTGTTATATAATTATATTTAGTTGTAATGATAAAATACAGATGAAGAAAAAGCAATCTATTCACTTGCAATCCATATTTAAATTTAAAACTGAAATAATTGTAATTGTCGACGAATTTGTGATAGCAAATGTTGAAACTTAAATATAACGAACTTGAAATTAAAAAATGAATGTTAAAATATTTTTAAACGAATTCTATAAAAATGTTAAAATACTGTACTGGAACAATAACTAGGGAATTTTAAACAGTAAATTTTTAATATTTTTGTTTAATTAATTTAAGTGTGATTTGATTTGCTTCACTTTTTATAATATTCAACCGCTTTTATCATCATATTTGTTTTAATTTTATTGTGACGTATTTGGTTTGAAAATGTTTAAGAAATTGATTCAATCAATTTATTTGAAAGGCTTACCAGAATATATCTGTAATTATATTAATTGTTAACGCATTTTTTAAAATAAAAAACAGAGAATATTCAACTTGGCTTGTGTAAAAATATATATTAGACGTAAATTTAAAAAAAAATTTTAACTATAACTAAATACGTAAATATCCATATAGATCAGTGAAAAACTATTATTGAATTATAATTAACTGTAAACTCATATATATATACGGTTTTTTCCTCTAATTAAATAGTTAATTGTACCTCAGCCATTGCATAAAATCATTAAAGTTAACTATCCGATTTGCCGATACGAGTTACCGATAAGGAAAAACTGATGATCTTTCTATTGATTTATGTTATTATTTCGGAATATCGAAAGTAAAATAGCACTAATTTCAATATACATTTACATAATTATGTATGTAATATTGCTTATAAATAAGTACAGGACAGCAAAATAAGTACATTATTATTAAGAGCTTTTTCTTTTAATACCTTTGAATTATTCCCTTTACTTGATTTATATTTAAATATGTCGAAGGAAAGATCTTCGTAATATCTCGTAATTCTTATAATATACTTGTACAATTTAAAGCCATTGGCCATTCAAAATCAATATTAATCATCAACGTACTTAGTAATATCAGCGCTAAGAAAATGTTTATTGGTCAGGCTGTTGAAGAAATCGCGGTGTCTCGATCAACCACCACTGTCGTATGGTAGAAAAGGAAAATCTAAAAAAGAAATTCAAACCTGGAAAACGAGTTCGCCTCCGCCCACGCTGAACTGCGATTGGAAGAGGAGAGAGAACTTCTCATCCATAACGGACTCGGTGCCCTTCTTCTCGGCCCTCTTGATTTTCTTGAGCTGCATATTGCGAAAACTAACGGAGAGCTGCCTCGTCGCCTGGTGGTACTCCATTGTCCCGGTATTGTTTAGTATTTCTCCACTAGCCTCGCCCTTGTTGCCCGTTTTGTCGCTCTTGAGCAGTGCGTTGGCCTGCGCCTCGCTTATTATGCTGACCTTGACCTGGGGAGGTGTCATATGCACGTTAAGCTTGCCACCGACGAGTAGCCTGACTGTGCTCGTAAAGCGAGTGTTGGTTTTCATGACTTGGGGCGGCTGTTTCTCGATTATGAACGTACTCGTCACCAACGAGCTCAGCAGTTGTGTGATTTGCGAGTTTAAAGCTGGGAGGATGTCCTGGACACCGGGTGGCTCAAGGGCGAGCTTCTGCTTAAGACGTTCGGCTTCCTTCACTTGCTGTCGGTTCAGCCAAATCAATTCGGCGAGACTCTCGCACCACTCTTGAATCGTGTCTAAATTACTAGTGAATATGGCACCGTTCCCCGCCAATTGCTGATCTCTTTTCCATCTAATAAATAAACGAAAAGCGGACTGGTTTAGTCTTAGTTGATCAATGCAAGCTTCCTGTTCCTTACGAGACTGTGTAACTTTTCAACTATTAATTACCAATACGAGTTAATGTCGAATTAAAAATTAAAATCAACAAAAATAACGAATGACAACGAGAAATTCAATACAATAGCAATATGAGATCGTCGATGATAATAATTACTACCAAGTACCTGATGAGCTGATTGTCGAGCACCCTCGATTGCAAAAGATTAAGTTTACTAATGGTATCCTTTAATTTGTCAGCGAGAGTCAAACGCAGTTGCAATAATGACGTGACTTTGTGATTTAAGTGTTGCTCCTGTTGTTCCTTTTGCCTTCGAATTTTCTTTTCAATGTCGATGCACTGTTGAGTCTGTGGTTGCGTTGCAATATTTTGCAGGTGAGCATTCAGTTTTGTACATTCGTGATAAGAAATGGCAAACGATTCTTGTTCTTGTTCCATTTTACGCAGATCCTCGCCCGTTTCTTGAGTTCGACGCCTCAAAGCATCTAATTGCTGGGCAATCTCTGCCATCGCATCACCTACCATCAGTCCTACTCTACTTCCAGCCATGTCCATTAGAGTACCACCAAGATTTTCAATTTGAGATACCAAATTCATTTCTGTTACTAAACAGTGTCTGATAATCTTAAAAAGTGTAATTGGATGCGAGCTATACCTCTGCTGTAAATTAAAGGAATAATGTGAGCGTATAAAAAAAAATTTTAACCAACCAGATACTGTTATTTTCCTTTATTTCATACTACTACTACTAATACTACTACTACTACTACTACTACTATTACTACTACTACTACTACTACTACTACTACTACTACTACTACTACTACTACTACTACTACTACTACTACTACTACTACTACTACTACTACTACTACTACTACTACTACTACTACTACTACTACTACTACTACTACTACTACTACTACTACTACTACTACTACTACTACTACTACTACTACTACTACTACTACTACTACTACTACTACTAGTACTACTACTACTACTACTACTGTTGAAAACAAACTCTAGCTACTTACACGAAAATTTTTGGCTGCTTCCATTAACTTTAATCTGGTCAAGAAGAGATCTTCTGTATTTAACGAAGCTGCTTTGGTTTCTAACTCTTGTATTAGAGATTCGATAAGATTGGCAATATACTGTTCGCACTGTGGATTGTCTGGTTCAATGTCAGTCCTGTACAAACAATATTAATGTGCAAATGAATTTATAAACCATTCTATGCTTACGTAGGTATTCATAATGCAAAGTACTAACACATACCACATTTTCTCTTCGATCCATGTTGACAAGAAGTGACGTACTTCGATTGGAAAATGCTCCCCATAAACGGAACGTATCTTTTGTAATGCCTCTTGAGGCAATTGTTGTGCTTTTGCCCACAGAGCCATCTTTATAAATATTAATTAATGAAGCTAAAACAAAAAACAAACCAAAAAAATATATAAATAAATAAATACAAAATTAATATCATTAAGCTGAAAAATCTCTCGATACAACTATTTATAAAAATCTTATTTTTAACCAGTGTAAGATTTCATATATTGCGCATGCGATAACCATCAGAATATTAATTATCCATAAAACATTTTGTAAGCGTGTAAAATTTTACATAATGATCAATTTACTCTGTTAAAGTGTCGACTAACAATATAATGAAAACTTATTAATATCGTCAAACATCTTCAAGCAATATCAAGAGAATTAATGAAATTCAAATCAACATTATTGTTACAAACTGCTTTATGAAATGTTAATATGAAATGAACATCGCTTAAAAGCAAATAATTTCTGTGATTCCATCGTGTATAAATATTTTTATTATAACAATTACTAAAATAACAATGGTTATAAGTAATCGATAAGTAATTATAATGGTAATGTAATGAATAAGGCTCTCTAAACTCGATATTATGCATTACATTCCGAGTACAGTAGAAATCATTGTAAATGTGTAGAAGTGCCAGTACATTAAAATTTAACGATCTGCACGCAAAAATGCGCGCGCGCAAGCACATACTAATGTATCCGCTAATTGAAATACTCAGATCGACAAAATTAATGTTTAAAATGAGCAATAACGATACATTAATATTTACTAAGTACATAATGGCACTATTGGTTCCCTTATCGAATCTCCCCCTGTATATTCTCTCTCATCCAGCCGTAGTTGCCGTAGTAGCAATAGTAGCCGCCCCGCTTAAGCATGTTGTCGATTTAATTTCTCTCGCCTCGCAAAAGAAATCTTAATTTAAACACACAGTGGCATAAATTCGAGTCGCGAGTCCAAATGCAAATTTAGCGCCTTTACGCTACGGTATTACGAGAGAAGCTGACGGAGAGTGAGAGAGTGAGAGTGAGTTTGTGAGTAACCGAGTTGGCGAACGAGGGTGGGAGAAAGGGCGAGAGGAAAGGGAGGAAAGAAGGACAAAAAGAAAAAAGCAGCCAGCGGAAGGACTGAGAATCGCCAGCGCGCACGGCGCAGCACTCTATCCGAAATCGAAGCTCTTCCTAGAATCGGGTGAAAATCGAGAAAAAGTGCGTCGGAAGGAGCGCGCGCGCGCGCAAAAGTTCGGGAGACGACGCGCTCACAGCGTCCCCGCAGCAAAAACACAGTCGAGTAGGAAAAAAACTTTCTCTTTGGCAGTGGCGCGACAAAGGCTGTCGGTCGCTCGTTCGAGCCGTCGAGGTTAAAAACGATCATCGCTCTCGCTTCACGGCTTTCCCGAAACGCGCGAAAAATCACTGGCGACGCGGCACTAAGCAAGCCCAGCGCCAACATATACAAAGAAAACGAACTTGAGCGAGACGATCGTAAAAACTGCCGAGCGAATCGCACGCGCCGCGCATATACACATGCACATGTAGAAGGAGAAGGAACACGGAGCCGACGGCGTAACGTCGTGTACGCGCGCACGTTTCTGATAACGTGCACGACGACCACGACTACGAAGACAACAACAACAACGACAACGACAACGACAATGACAACGACAACGACGACAACGACGCAATGACAACGATAACGACAACGACGACGACGACGACGACGACGCCGACGACGACGAAAATGCCAAAGGAATCGAATGAAAGAAAGGATCAAGTAACTTGATAGATGTGTTTGGAGGCGCACGCGAGCGCTCGCACACTTGAAAGGTTCACTTGCGACTACTATGTACACATACGCAAGCGCAGGAGACCCGACGTTCGTCCTTGCAGTCACGTCGTCGTTATCAGTATCGTTAACGTTATCATCCTTCTCGCCGTTTACGTCCTCGACGCCACGCGCCCTGGACAACGCGTCCACACTACGAGTAGCGCACCTTAATCCCGCGCTAGCGCTGGACTCTATTTTCGGGCTGTGCATTCCAAACAAAAAGCAGAAGTGCAAACACGCGAGAGCTATTGCGTATCGCGCGCTGCGTCTAGACGATAACGAAACTGAGACGTAAGAAAGACACCGAAGATCTCGAGCGAAATAAAGAGAGAGAGAGAGAGAGAGAGAGAGAGAGAGACACACATGTAAGACGTAGAGTAATAGGAGATAGAGAGGGACATAGATATATTCAGATGAATAGATAAGTAGATAAATGGATGGATGGATGGATGGATGGATGGATGGACGAATGAATGAATGAATGAATGAATATGAATGGATGGTTGGATGGATGGGTGGACCGACTGACTGACTGACTGACTGACTGACTGATTGATTGATTGATTGATCAGTTGATTACTGATCGATCGATCGATCGATGAATAGCTTTAGTGGGTGTACCGACGGAGGGACGAATAGATGGTTAATTGAGGGGGGGGGGGGGAAAGGGGGGAAA